TTCGAAAACAAAAAAGCAACATTTATTTAAATGACTTGCAGCACAAACACACTTTTCTTGAGCAAAATATTTCACAAAAGAAGCTTCCAAATTACTAATATACTTAAGAATTAAATAAACAATATATTGTTCAAATTGGAGACAAAAAGTGAAAATTTTTTAGTTTTCAGAATTTAGTAGAATATAGAGGTAATGAATCACACCTGTGGTTTACTTGTAAAATTGAGCGGAACAATGGATTAAAAGTGAAGTTAGATTTGATAAAATCTCTAGATGCTTGCAGATGCCACTTGACTTGATATCGTGTAACTAATGAAGGAAATTACATCCTTTTAACTGTGTATTATGCTTTCAAAAAGTGTCCAAATACTTTTCAGGCACACCATAAAAGCTTTATATTCACTAAAACAACTAAACACACCATTCGGGCAACTTTCGAATACTTGACGTCACAAGCAGAAGTGCCTCAGTGCACAACTCAGAATAGTCCCCCAGCGCACACAAAACACCTGTCTGTGCGAGTATGAAAGCAGAGCAATTGCAGGAAGTTTCAAGCCAATGAAACACCAGAGGTCAGTAACTTCTACCAGGTAGAAAATTGAGAATTTCTTACCTGGACTGATAGTTTTTTGTCCTCATTTGGTAATATTCTGTAGGTATACACACAGTTTTGGTACCTACAAAAGAATGAGAAGATTAAAACATTAATTTGCATATATATACTGTATATATATATATATACACACACACACACACACACACACACACACACACACACACACACATCACAAATTGAACATAAACATTGAAAAAAGCCATTTTGCCAAAAGCAACCATTATGGGAAGCCCCTTACCAACTTCCTTCAGTCTCAGTCAACACTGTTTGTTAATATTTCACTGTACAAGGAATCACATTGGACATAAATGCAAACTTTTTTCACTGCATTATTTAAAGAAACATTTGCAAAACACACTTCACCCGAACCTGACAAACAAGGTTTACAGTTTTTTTGGAAAGAGTTTATATGAAATAGCATTTTACCTGGTAATTAATTTGACAATATGCACACAAAGTAGGAAGGAAGCCATTTGCATAATATGTGATTTCAAAAGCTGTGATGTTTATATATATATATTTGATCCTAATAAGGTTGCATGGCCAGTGCCGCAAAACCGAGCATGTTTTATACGATGCATTTATGACTGACTCAATTGTCATCTCATGCAAATCGTCCAAAACACACTGCAAATATAAACGGCATACCTACTCGAAAACACTTAAAAGATCCAAAACTTTCATCTATAATATTAGTGACAGCATATGTGCCCCTCCACCTGAGATGAACAGCAACAATACTCACAGAACACAGAGGGCATAAGCTCCCTGTATGGATTCGCTGTCCCGCAGGAGGAAGCTCCCATCCTTGCCTGCTTTGGAGAGGAGGTCCTCTGCTGTAGACCGAGTGATATTGCCATGGTACCATGGCTGTTGAGACAACATCCTTTCCAAAGACTTTTCCCTTCCTCAGTCTGAAGACACCCAGTTTATTTTGGCCCCGGCAAGTTTTCAAGAGCAGATCAACATGAGGCCACCTTCAGAGTCTCACGTTTTGTTTCATGGCGTTGTTAGAACCGATAGCCGCTCCTGCTCTGTCTGGCTCTAGGCTCGCCGTTTCTCTCTCTTCCTGTTAGAGAGGCGAAAGCTGCAAAAAGGAAGCGAGAACTTCCTCATTCTGTGCACATTAAAAACTCAGAGAGAGTGAGCAAGAGAGAAGGCCGAACAGCAGGCTTGTTCATACGGCTCCAACACCTCTTATTTTTACCACAAAAGAGATGAAAAAGGTCTATGTGGTATTGTAGGAGTTTTCAGTGCATTCTTTCATACAACATCAATGATTAACTCCGCTAACCAAAACTATGAAGAGGACAACCAATGCAAGTGTCTACATAATAGCCAATATGCAAAGCAGAGAAATGTAGATAAACATTTACAGTGTGAAAGGCTCTGTTGAGAGGTAGATTATGAATTTATCTTTTTGACCAAACCACTGATGCTGAAAGGGAAGTGACTTGTGGAGCACACTGGTAACATCTTCAGTTATGTGTCAGCATTTGGGTGTATATTAGATGTAGATTGATTGTACAAGAATATGAAAGCTCATTAAACATGACGTAATGGAGCAAGATGCCTTTTATTGCAGATGTACACTGAAAAGAATAATACTCTCTCAGGGAAAAAAAAAAGCTTGTCATTTAGGCAGTACCCTGAAAGGTTAAAGGCCTGTTCACACCAAGAATGATAACTATAACCTTTAGTGTTATAGCTGTGGTGTGGACTCTGCTATTCTTTAATGTTGAGAATGATTTTTAGAACTATATCATTATCTTTATAGTTATCATTCTTGGTGTGAACAGGCCTTAATAGTAGTCCCTTAAGGGTACATATTACTACTCTAAGTTACTAATTTGCACCTTTTAAGGGTAGATAAGGTACAAAGCAGTCCCAGAATCATGCTGTTGTACCTCTGAAGGTACAATTTTTGCCCATTGTTTTCTGACCTTGTACAGTAACTCTAGATATATTTAAAGGAGCATTTGCCTCCAAAATGAAAATTCTATCATTTAGTCAAACACAAAAAAATGTTAAGCAAGATGTTCACGCAGCTCTTTTTCATGCAAATGTGAGACACTTTAGAGGGGGGGGGGGGGAAATGGCATCGTAGACTTAAACCTGGGTTTGATGTGCCATGTTTGAACATACAGTACAAACATGAATGAGGTTTGAGAACTGCACAGGGGGAAAGATTATCAGTGAATAGTATCTTAAATTTCGGCTTTTTGCGATTGCAAAGCTATTGCATACTGTAGCCTCAGAAGGCCCACTTTCATATGGCCCACTTTTCTGGTGCATTTTGTCATTTTTGGAGCTTGACAACCCCTGGTCACCATCCACTTTCACATTGTATGGAAAAGAGCAGTGTAAACTTTCTGCTAACCTTGATTTGAAAGAATATACTGAAATTAAATGCTTAAAGTTTGTCTCGTTTCATTTTGACATTATACTGTGAGCTAAACTTTCTGCTACACAAAAAAACCCCGTTTTGTAATCATATCAAACTCAAATCGGAGGTTTCATCTGTTAATGTTTCAATTTGTGATAGTAATGGCAAGTACTCTCGCACACACATTACAGTCCCTCCCCCTCCTTTCTCACTCTCGGTGAAGATGCCCTGTTACGTTAATGGACAGGAAGCCTTGCACAAATATGAGGAAAGAGAAGCAAAGAGAAGCAAAGAGAGAGAGAGAGAGAGAGAGAGAGAGAGAGAATAATCTGCTGATGCCTCAGTTTGAGTCACATGATGTGAAAGAGAACCTGAATAGTGCCACAGTCGCTTCAGCCTGGTGGTTTCCATCTTGCGTCTTTCTCGCATGCACACAGCCATAAAGAAAGCGGTTATGCTCTACTGTCAATAAGAGCTCAGCGGTGATGGCCACAGTGCGGTGGGACAAGAGCGCGTGCGATGCATTCTGAAGATAACGTACGTTTTCACAAGATTCTGCATATTGTCACTAGCAGATGTCACATGAGATGATATTCAAAAGTCAAGTGTTATGAAGACTAATGGAAGCTGTATGAGATGTGACAAATTATTTGACACTTTGGTAGTAGTGAGAATAGGGGGTATATTGTAATTGCAACCACCAAAATGCATCTGATACCTAAGAATTTACGTAGGCTACTTTATATATATATATAAAAAAACATTTGAGGTTACATTTATTCAGCTGATTTAAATGCATTTACAAATTGACTCATGGATGGATTTTACATGAGAAATACAGAAACATTTATGAAATAAGTATGATAACACCTCAAATAAAATATATTTATACCAGTTGGTTAGAGTAATTAAAATAATATAACTAATGATGCATATCAACTTCATTACAACAAGTGAAAACTAAACCAGTATTATATGCCAACAAAAAATCTGTACTTATATACCTTAAACTATAAAAGGTATAATTAATAATATTAATTGACTATATAGTGTGAAGTGCACATGCATCTAAATAGTCATAATAACAAATAGCCGTCAAGGAATGTAAAGAAAAAAAGTAGTATTCATTTCAACTCCTCACTGGTTTGTTAACCTTCACACATTCTTACCACAGCTTGAGAGTGCTATAACCAGAAAACCCCCCTGGGGACCATTAAACATGATTATATATGTAGTTTTTACACCAAGTATGAAAAACATTAGTTTCACACTGATTTCGTTAAGAAGCAAGTGCTAACAAAATGTACAGTCAAAGCATGTCATTAGCAAACAGGTAATATGCTAATAAAAACACAACGTACATTTTTAAAAGGCAGCACACAGTCTTATGCACAATTTATGCCTGCTTGAGCCTTGATGGAGTCTTTAGTCCCCGACCATTGTGTTCTGGTACTATTTAACGGTCACTTGAAGCCTACAGTTTAAAGTAACTGTATGTAGTTTTGTGTATTTTTGCAACTTTGGAGCCCTTTACAATTAAAGAGGCTATATGTATTCGGAAACCTTCGTTATTATCATAGACTGTATAAAAACATGGACGTAGTGTCCGTGACATCATCCGTAGGCTTCCGAAGAGCGTTTTTGAAGCTCAAAGTGGGCCGAGGCTGCCGTCGCCATCTTGGCAGCGAGTCACTCCCGGATAATCGAAAATGGGCGAAGAGGCGGGAGCTGGTTGCTGAAACCACGCCCACTTAGCTCGACGGTGGTGAAGCAGGCAATCCACCTTTCACTCAAGTGGCCACGCCCTTATTTATGCAGAACTTTAAGGCTTAATATAATTTAAATGGATGAGTTCTAAAAAAATTCACCCCCCTCACAGTTGTCATGAAGGGCAAAATTAGCTATATACACCAAAATAATTTTTTGAACCAGGCTGTAAACATGTTTTTTTGTGCTGTAAATTTGGGCATTTTAACAAAGGGAGTCTATAGGATTGACTCCCTTTTGCAGCCAGCCTCTAGCGGCCAGTTGGCGAATTACAGTTTAAGTCACTTCTGTGTTGGCCTCACGAGAGAAAGCGGGAGGTTGCTGCTTGGTTATTATTAGCGATTAGCAAGCACCGGTGGCCGTTAAGTGAACTGCAGCCAGCAACTTATTTGCTCGTGCTCTCGCACACGTAACATACAAGAGACTGAACGTGATTCAGTGGCCCTATATCAGTGTTGAAGCGACCCCAATAATGTGATATTATTGATAGCCTGATAAATATGGAATGATAGCCACTAAATATGGAATGGGAATTTTACCAGGGCAACCCCGCCAAAAACGTGGGTTTTCCCCCCTGGAACGCGATTTTTACCGGGTGAACCCCCTCGAAACGCCATTGGACTAAATTCTGGGTAGCAATTGGTCGGATTTTGTTGTGAAAACCTGGCAACCTTGGCCTACATATTCACGGCAAAGCTCTTTTTTCGTTCTTTGTTTAGAACTAAAAAAAATGTAATACCTTTGCGAGCATATCACTGTGGTAATTACAGCGGATAGCTGTGCACATGCATTTGTTGTTGCCATAAAACAACCCGACTTATACCCACTCACCAACTTAAATACTCCTAGAACAGATGTTTGGGGGGGGGGGGGCATTCGCCTTATTAGAAGTCAGTGTACCATCAGAGTGATTTTGTAACTGATCTTAAATTTACATACAGTTGCTTTAACATGCCCAGATCACATGCTTGGTTATTATACTTAAGGCTGTTTAAAGTTCCTGATCTTTAATTGACCATACACTGAGGAAGTGTAGGACGAATCACTAAATCCAATGAAAAATATCCATACCATCTTTAAGATTTTAATCGCTCGCTCAGAACTCAGACTTTGCGGTCAGAGAGCTCTCATGTGTACCTTTCAGGTCCCCGCTTGTAGCGCCGGACCCCCCTGATTTGTCTCTGCAAAAAATCCTGCGAACGCTTCCCCTGAACTTCTCAGCAGCAAACAGGTAGACCAGGGGATCCAAAGCCCCATTCAGGCAGGTTAGAGAGGAAGTAAGCCGGTTAGCCAGGGCTAGTCCTCTTTTGATGTGGCAGGATAAGTCTGGGTGTCCGTAACCCAGGATGAAGGTTGCACGGCTTAAGTGATAGGGCAGAAAGCACACTATGTAGATGACCATGACCAGACCAATGGTGCGGAGAGCTCGGAGTTTGAGTGCTGGCTCCAGCCTTGAACCTTTCCGCAGACTGTTCACTATCAGCAGGTAGCAAGAAAGCGTGGCAATGAAAGGTGGCGTGAAGGCTACGGCGAGAGAGACGAGAGCATGCCGTGAGGCCTTTTCTCTGTACAGTTGCAAGCATATGGTAGAGCCGTTGACTTCTGCAGTCTGCTTAGTGACCAGTAGGGGCGCCATAGACACTATCACCAAAGCCCATAGTGCAAAACTGGCTATGTGAGCGTAACGAGGGCGCCTGACCTTGAGGGAACGTACAGCATGTACCACAGCAAGGTATCTATCACCTGCAACACAGGCTAGGAAGTACAAACTGGCATACATGTTGACATAAAAGAAGAAGCCCGCAAGACGGCAGGGAATTTCACCAAATGGCCAATGTCCCCCAGTTAAATGATAAGTGGCTCTGAGGGGTAAAACGAAGATGTAAAACAGGTCAGCCACAGCAAGATGAAGCAGGAAGACATTGGCTGGAGAAGAGTTGCCTCTCTGGCGGGCGAAGATCCACAGGGCAAGGCTATTGCCATTCAGTGCCAGAAGGAAAACTATGATGTAGTAGAATCCAAAGATCATGTTCTCCACTGTACAGTCCACAGGTGGGCAGCTCTCCATGGATCGATTAGGCAGCAAGGTGGGAAGCTCTGTCAGGGGGGACTCCATTTTTGTAACTGCAAACAAAGGAAAAGAAAAACATTTTTGTTAATTGTTTGAATTAAAATAGAAATGCTAATATAAATGCTAATATAAAAATCTATCAATTTTATTTTTGAATTTATGAACCATGAACTGAATAATAAAAATATTAAATAAAAAAAAATATATATAAAAAATGTATATATATATATATACTTTTTTTATATATAAATAAAAATCAATGATGGCTTTTGGATGGCTTAAATTGATAGACAGTAGAAATTAAAAATAAAATAAATATATACATACACACACACAGACATATTTAAACATATGGTGTTCTTTTAAACTTAATATTGAAAAAATACTGGAAAAAAAAAAGTTTGACCTGTTCCACAGAAATATTAAGCATGTATGTATCAGATGGTGTCCCTAGAGAGCTGATCCCCTAGACAGATTGCATAATTTCCATGTAGGGAGCAGCAGCCATGCATGCTAGCTATAAATTATTAACATTTTGACAAAACACATAAAAAATTGATAGATCAACAATTAAGTCCACATTTGGCACACACTCCCATCACATATCCAAACCAACCTATGCTGCATCCAAGTTAATTTCATGGAACCCAAAAAGTTGTGACAAGAAATCAAAATGAAAATTGAAAATAGAACAGAACAGAAAAGAACAAGATTACATCTGCTTTTGGGAATATGTTTCCAAAGTTGCCCGTTGTCAAAACATGTTTACAAAAATGAAGCAAAGAATGCAGCAGTGATAGACCAAGTAACAATTTTTATTCCAGCAGCAGTAAAAATGTATCCTTCTCTGTGCACTTTGAGTAGTGAGGGAGGGTGCGTTACAGCTGTCTGGGTGTTTGGCAGCAATTCAGATGCTTCGATATTTGTGTCTCAGGAGTCTGAGCAGATGTCCCTGTGGAGCAGTCGACTACACACTCATTGCACCTCCACACACGCTACGCTGCATGAAGGTGCTGGTGCATCCCAAACCAGAGCCACTCCTGGCTATGTGCTTACAGTCTGAGCCAGCTGTCCTCATGGCATTCTGGTTTGTCAAATCTTTGGCGTGTGCACAGGGCAGCCTACCCTCAGATTCAATGAGCAAACTCTGTTCGGAAGAGGCATTCATTCTAACCCGCCATTCAATAACAGTTGCTCTATTAATAACCAGGCTGAATGAAGCATCTGCAGGGTTGAGCTGCATCAGAGAAGCATCTGCAGGGTTGACATAACGCTATTTATAAATTAATAATTCTAACCAAACAAACAAACAAATTAGGAATACATTTAGATTTTTTTTGGTTACACAATTTCGATAGTCCACTTTAGACATTCTACTAACTATAAGTAACTTTGTAAATGCATGTCAACTACATGTCAACAAATTCTAATTAATTTGCAACTACAGGTCTACTAACTCTCAGAGTAGACTGTTAGGGTAGGTTTAGGGTTAGTAGAATAAGTTGACATACTGTATATTTGCAAAGTTTCTGATAGTCATGATAGTATGTTGTTGACCCATCAAAATAAAGTGTTAGAAGATATTAAGTAGACAGTCTACTAATACTCTAATGACTGCTAGTTGACATGCAGTTGCAAAGTTGCTTACCGTTAGTAAAATGTCTAAAGTGGACTATCGAAATAAAGTGTTACCTTTTTTTTTTTTTTTTTTATAAACTCACATGTGTTCAAGGAATAAGTATGAGGAAGTATTGGCATTCTTATTGGTCTGATAGTCCAAATGCAAAATCAGTGGTTTGAATTTAAAGTTAATAGAGGCCTTGGGTTTGAATTTATAAAACGTTTAAAATTAATAAGAAAAGGGTTTCCTATGGCTGTGTTTTACCTTGAGTTCTGGAAGCGTGTTGGTTTTGGCAAAACAAATTGTTGGCAAAACAAATTGAATACTGAATTTCCTTTCCACATGCTTTGGAATACTTCTCTGAAAGATGCCTTTCTTCATGACTAAAATATGCTACCAAAACATTTCACAATAACCTCTCACTGGAGCTGGAATAATGGGGAGGCACTTTATCTATATTTTCAGAACACTACAGACAAACAAAAAGTGGGTGTGTACCAAGGAGTGTCTCAAGATCCTGCCATAGGAAAGTGCTGCGGAATTTGTAAACAAAGGGGAGGAAAATCCTCAAGTCCCAGAACATGCCAAACCCTCCAGTAATATAAACAGATAAAAGTAGAGAACTATAAAACAAGAAGCTGTCCTGAACTGTGCTTGGAGACAAAAGGCGTGATTTGCGATTGAGAAATCCAGATGTTAATAAATGGTTCTGGTTCTCTGGCGTGTGGTATGAAACTATATTGTGTGGTCCAGGAAAAACACATTTACTCAGACACACAAAAAAAGGCATTTCAAATGAAAAAGTATAATCCAGCAGCACCAGTCCAAGTGTTTCGTGGTCGTCTTGAAAACGCGCTCCAAACCCGACAGTCTTGAAGAACGAGGCTTCTCCACAGGCTGGCAACAATACAAAATCACTTTTGTGTTAAAGAAATAAGTGGGGGAAAAGCTGGGGTTGCAATGTGACACTAATGCTCCTATTAACCAAAGCTGAACTGCAGCTCTGCATGGACCAACACGCTTCCAGAACTCAAGGTAAAACACAGCCATAAGAAACCCTTTTCTTTTTACAGTAATGCACACATACATAAAATATGACAAGAAAGCAAATGCAGCACAACATTTCCTGTATTACATTTTTTATATCTGATTCCCTGATGTGATTGACTTACTTTGCTCATTCAAGCAAAGCAAAGCAAACTAATCCTAAACCTTTTACTTTACATTGCAGTGCTAAAATTACCCTTTAAAGACTTTTTCCTCTAACCAATAAACTCACCTTAGATGCAACAAAAAGAACATAAAAAATGGCATGCACATAAACTAGGAAAACACCATATGGTCACTTTAAAAAAAAATTCTATACAAATATAAATAATTTTACAAATGTGTAAAGATTAATTTGAAAGAATATATGCAAACAAGTTTCAATTGAGCCAGACAGCAGACACTGAGAGAGTAAATGAGAGACTCACCAGAGTGTTGATCCCTCAACAGCCTGTGCAGTAGTGACGGTCTTGAGTAGAGCAGAGGAGAGAAAGTTCTGCTGCCTGAAAAGCGAGAGCGAACCAGCAGCTTCTGTTGAGCAGCAGTGGAGTTTAATGGAGTTGAGACTCTAGTCTCTCAGGCTGAGCTGTGTTTGAGATACGATACTCTTTTTGTGTCGCCAACTAATTTGATCACAAAAACGCGGTTTGCAATGGGAAGGCTCTAATGTGACCCTTGACCTTAGCCTTTCTTTGCAATGCTATTTTCTTCTGAGGGCCACTTGTGTGCTCCACAATTACCCGAGTCAGAAGAAGCGGCACATTTCGACAGGGGGAGAATAATGGCATGCCTTGCAAGCAATGTGGAGCCAGTGGGGTACCATGGCAACAGGGACTAGCTTGCCTTTAGGTTACACCCCCCCCCACTTCGACCATATCAATAAACAGAAGATGAACTGAGCATTTAATAGGCCAGTTTATGAATAAAGACCAGAGATTATCCATTGTAGACTGTGGAAAGCCAGACAGACGAGGCCCCTTGGAACTCAGAGAATGAGTGAGAAGAAATTTGAGTTGAAATCACAAGGACAAGTAAGACCGAGAATAATAGACTGGGGTCCTTGTTTCTCAGTTCCCTGCTGTGGACTGTTGGGGCATCATACATTCTAGCAGCAGAGCAAAAATAAGGGCACGTGATCCTCAGACAGATGTGGAGCCCCAAGTGAACAGCAAGAGCAATAATCTGTCTTTCATTCTGGAAGATCACAGCTGTGTAGGACACACATCATCTCTTTTTCCTCTGTCTGGGCCCGTCTTCAACGATATGCTAATATAGTTCGCTTTACTGAATGAGCCCACTATCTAGTTGCCTCTATTCTACCAGAATAGGCTAAATAATACAGTGCCAAGTCTTAATTGGGACATCTCCAAGCCTCATTATATGCTGCACCCTCGAGACTTTGTTGCCCTGGGGCAAAACACAGTGTAACAGAGAAGAACTCATCTTCTGTCAGATTCATGAGCTGAAACAGTTTGCTTTTAAACATGACAAACAACATAAGTATAAAGCTTATGGAATTCCATTTTTCAAAACACGCAGAAAACATTTGGCTCTATGGCAAATAATCACAATGTTCAATTGCTCCGAGTTACACCTCATAGTAATTTATTTGACAATTTCACTAAAAACAAAAAAACAACAACTTAAAATGCATCAATAACAAAATGATCCAATGACTGTAATGATTAATTTATATCATTAAATATTAGTCAACCAGTAATCTGATTGAAATTACAGTCTTCACATTCTGGCAGCATATTAAGAAAAACAACTGATCATAAACACAACCGTTGACATTACACATTTTGCAATATATAGCATATCACACTGAAAAATAAAACCAGACAATTATTTAGTTTGATAAATCATGTTTTTTAAAACATTTCATTGGTTATGTTTTTATCATATACTGTATGTGAATGTATGCCTTTAAAAGAAAAGCACAGTAAACTGACAAACTACACGTCTGTTATTTTTAGTCAAAGTGTTGATCTCGTCTTTGTCCTCTCTTCTCATTAAGATACATGTTGACATAGGAAGTCAGCAGGTCATCCATTTTATAGCCCTTATGAACACAGGATAAAATTCTATTATTTTAAGATCTGAAAAATTATACTTTAAATGATCTTTTTATATATATTTATATCACACACACACACACACACACACACACACACACACACACACACACACACACATAGTATAATATTATATTAAACTAAACAACAGAACACTTTCTCATAATATGACCTTTTCAAGAAGCCATTGCATTAGTTCAAATGTTGGGAGATGCATTAAAGGCAGAGTAAGTGATTTTTCAAAAACACTTTATTTATATCACACACACACACACACACACACACACAACTGGTATAATATTATAATTAACAGAACGGTTTTCTATTTTAATATATTATTTTAATATAAATGTAATTTATTCCCGTGATGGCAAATCTAAATTTTCAGCCATCATTACGCCAGTCTTCAGAGTGACATGACTCTTCAGAAATCATTCTAATATGCTACTTCAATATTGGAAACAGGTTTTGCTGCTTAATATTTTTGTGAAAATTTTGATTTATTTTTTTCGGGATTATTTGATGAAAAGCAATAATCTTTCAATATAAATGTCTTTTTCACTTTGTCAATGTTTGTTTTAATGTCTTTACATCAGCATCCTTACTGAATAAAAGTGATCATTTCCTTTTTTTTCCCATTGATTATAATATAAAATGTTTCTTGAGCACCAAATCAGCATATTAGAATAATTGGAATAATGGCTGCTAAATAGCCAAATCTGTGTCACTCACCAGGGAAGTTTCACACAGGATTTTGTTCCCTCTGACAAGGTTTCCTACAGTCATGTGGAAGTATGTGCTTCCACTGCACCAGTTTGCAATCTTGTTATATGGATGCACTGCCAGAATGTCCTTAAAGTCGAGACAGAGTTATGATACATGATTCATATTTTAAGAAGATTCAAGCTTACACTCGTCTGAGGTGTTATACAAATCTTGTTTAGGGAAATCACATGCTAAGCAGTTAAAATGAGAGAAAAACGAGTTATCGATTGATGATACCTTTGTTTTGGGGTGAATGACAGTGATGCCCTGTTTACTGATGGCAATCCTTACAATGTCGGGGAAATTGGGCTCTGATGTTTGCTGTAAAATCAAGATTAATCTTATACACAGTTTTTTTAAGTAATATTTGCAAAATTCGTATTGTGCTACAGACTCAAATTGCTTACTTTCACATCAAAAAAGGCACAGCCAAATGTGGGCCATTTATAGATAATCTTTAAAAAGCCAATCACTGCCTGCTCCACAGTCGTGCCTGTTTGCTTGTTGTATTCGGCAACAATGTGCTGTTGAAAAATGGTTATGTACAAGAAACACTTTAGAAGCACAATATCTCTTATGCACTGCACAATGCACAGAATTGCAGTGTACTGAAACTGACCTTTTTCCATTCATCAGCAGACATGGCTTTAAGCTGGTCATTAGGCACCAGGTCTTTCAGCATCCTAGGAATCATGGGAAACTGAGTTTTATCATTGTCCACTTTCACTCTGAATAATAGAGCGCCAAGCATCACCATTTCTTCTTTGGTACAACGATGATAACCTCTCAAGTACTTGGGCAACTCCTAGATAGTGTGAGAAATATGGAAAAATACCACATACCTTATAATATGAAGTTCTTCAATGCTTACAGGGAAGCTATAATGAAACATTTACAACAAGTATTTTTTAAAAACGTGGTACAGATTGCCTGTACCTGTGGATAATGGAAGATGAGATCCGCCTCCACATCTCTACCAGGGACAATGCTGAACCATAGTTTTCTCATAAAGTAAACTGTGTAAGATACATTCACTGGACTGCCTGCTGTTTAAAACAGTATAAGCATTAGCAGTTGTTTTGAATTTGACTTAACTGTTGACTGACTCAAACTTGTTCCTTTTAGGGTATGTTTACATGACAATGATGTACTAAAAACAGAAAAGTTTTTCCTTTGCATTATTGATAATATTCCGTTACAGACGACAATGTTGTCAAAACGATCCCCGTTCACACGGAGCTACGAAAATGACTAAAAACGCATGCCAGGCCAGTAGTAAAAGAAAAGAAACAATACGAACCTTCGCACATACTTATAGACTGAACATGTAATATGCATGCACATGATGCCACCATTTTCACAAATTTCCATTTTGGTAGTTTACACAGTGATAATAATGGTGTAGTTTTCAAAGGTTTGAGTTTCAGGCCCCCAAAATGCCATTGTTGTGTAAATGAAAGGTCAAAACGCAGTTTTTAGTTGAAAATGGTGTCGTGTAAACACCCCCTCAAATCAGTGATCTAGAGATTAAAATGACCTAATAAAGTTTTCACCAAAATTGAAACAGACTTACCCTGATTCACTCTCTTTGCTCTCCTGGACCAGTCAGTAATCTGCCTCAGGCTGTCAAAGATGTAGTCAGTTTCAGTCAGACTCAGAACCTGACAGAAAGAAAATGCTAGATAAACATACAGACAAAGGCTTTGTAAAAATGCAGCTGTAAATTAGTGAAAGGACATGACAAGGGATCATTGGCAGAGCTGTAACAACTGTAGACACCGTGGAGGCAATGCTTCTCCCAATAATCAGACCAAGATATTTACTGATATATGATTTTTAAATAGTCACTTCTTAAACTATTGGTTTAAGATTCTGAATACAGCCATGGTAGCCTGGGAACAAACCTTATCAGGAGTTTTCACAAAGAGGCTGAAACCATCAGCTGAGGACAACATGAGTTTATTAGCAATGGTCTGGACCAGGTCTTTTATCTTGGTGTTGGTTGCCACCTCAAAAATCTGTCCAGAAGTGTGAGAAAAAAGAACACTGGATTGATATTCCATGGCTAAAATGCATGATTTGCATTGGCAGCAAACTGACTGTTGATTTAATGTTTATTCATCTGCATTTCGAACATTAAAAGAATTGAGGTGCAAACCACTAGTGCAAGGCTCCAAAAAAAATAAATAAAAAAATAAACATTAATGTCCCACTGGTCCGGGGTAAATAAACAGGGGTCTTAGGCCAATTGACAGAATGGTCAGTTGCCATTTTGGGCGAGTGCTGCGTTGCCACTGAAAATGTTGCATTTATTGATTTTGTACAGTGGGTATAGAAAAGTATCACCCCCCTTTAATATAATCACATTTTGTTGCTTTGCAGCCTGAAATGAAGACGGACAGATTTTTTGTTTTATCCAGCTGTATTTACTCAATACAGTGCAACTTATAACATCCAAGTGAAAGATAAAACACCAACGTATCAGAAAAAAATTAAAGGGGTCATATGATGCTTTTTTTAAAGATCATTATTTTGTGTATTTGGTGTAACAGAATATGTTGACATGCTTTAATGTTCAAAAAACACATTATTGTTCAAATACTGTACATTATTGTAGGTCCTCTATGACCTGCCTCTCTCAAACACTCGTTTTCAACAAAGCCCCCTCTTTTGATAAGCGCAGACT